TACTTTATAAATTATTTAATGATTTAACATAATTATAACAGCTAATAAAAATTAAATGCATACTATTTTCATGTATTATGCTAAACATGTACATCTATTGCATATATGTATTAATCTGGCCAATCACTATATGTGGTTGATTCTATTATTGTCCATATTTTACAAATAAAGATGCCCATGCCCAGAAAGACTAAATTAGTTATCCACAATCACATTAGTCATTTTGGTAAGTTAGATTTGAACTCAGGTACTTTGATTACTGAGCACATGTTTTAACCCATTCATTAAGTTTTGTATATTGCTGGGATACTGGGTCTGCATTCGTGGAATCATATGATCTAGTGACAGGATGAACCATGTGACCAGGGCGTGGTGTTCTCATCACAATACATAAATAAGAAGTGAAAGCTGGCAAGTGAGCTGAGAAGTCTGGGATTCTGGTGTAGTGAGAACAGAAGTCATGGTCTAGTAAGAAACAAGTTAAAAGAAAGCAGATGGAGAGCTGGGCTCAGATTTAGGAGATTGCCTGAGTCAGTCTATCTAAAGGTTGAATGGTCCTTCACAGAGGTTATGTCATGCTCTGCCATTGTATATTCTGCATTGTAGCAAATGCATAGTCCTTTGAACAGAGAGTTCCAAGGGACAAAGACCAGAGCTGCAGATTTAATCAGTACATGACTGCATAGAAACATTTTGGGGCATCTGCTGGCATCTGCTCACCCAGGAATTTGGGATCATCTGAGAGTTCTGTAGCTGGTATAAGGCCTCTTATATTTGAGAACATTCTGAAGAAGAATTATTGGCATGCTTGTGGTGCAGAGTCAGGATATGCATACAGATCCTCTAGAGTCTATCTCCTATGAAATATTAATACTAGGTAGGATACTAAACAAAATATTAAGCTAACAAAGTCATTGTATCAGTCACTATTTCATGAGGCCCCATATGAACTCAACATGTTTCTAATCATTTTTTAAGAACTCCTCAAAATAAGTCTTCTATTGTCAGATTATTAACTTAGAGTCTTCAAATTGCCTCTTCAGGTGAATTAATTATATCTTGTATTATATCTTTTTGCCTGGTGTCTCTATTTCCTTTTTTTTTTTTTTCCCAACCCTGATTTTACTAATATGTCAAAAAGTACTAGGAATAATCTTTTCCCATGAACCCTGACCTGGCCAGCTCAGTCCATTGCAATGTTTCTCGTTCTGTTCAGTAAATAATTTTTCACCCATTTGACACTTGACATAGAGTATATTCTTACAGTGTTTACTAGGTTTTATTCTGCATGCATCTTTTCTCCCCTACTATACTGTTACAGCAAGTACTTTGAAAATATTGATAAGATTTTCAAGTCTAAATGTGATATACTGTACACTTGGGCATAAAGTGTGGAATGATAGACAATGAATACTTGGAGGATGGGGGCTAGTGGGACGGGTGAGGAGAAATTATGAAATGGCTATAATGTATGTTATTCAAATGGGTACCCTAAAAGCTCTGACTTTACCATTATGCAATGGATGCATGTAACACAATTACATTTGTACCTCATAAAATTTAGACAAATAAATAAATTAATGAGTAAAAGTGGTACACTATACTTCGTGAATAGTAAGATTTATATTAAAATCTTGCTGGTTGGTAGTTTATTTTTTAATATGCTGGACAAAACTTTTTGCTATGTTTGATCCTTAATTATTGCTTCATAAGTATTCCTTAGTTACTATAGTTTGTTACTATAATATTACCTTTAAAAAGTAAACAAAACGATTCCTTCAGTATTTGAATCCAAACATTAGATTGTTCACATTAAAATATCATTAAAATATAGCACTATTAGGCATCTACCCAAAAGAGCACAAAACATTCTACGATAAGGACATCTGCACCTCAGTGTTTATGGCAGCACAATTCACTATTGCAAGAATGTGGAAACAACCCAAGTGCCCGTCAATCCATGAGTGGAT